ATTTATTTATTTTTTGAGACAGAGTCTCACTTTGTTGCCCAGGCTAGAGTGAGTGCCGTGGAGTCAGCCTGGCTCACAGCAACCTCAATCTCCTGGGCTCAGCGATCCTACTGCCTCAGCCTCCGTAGTAGCTGGGACTACGGGCATGCACCACCATGCCCGGCTAATTTTTTCTATATATATTAGTTGGCCAATTAATTTCTTTCTATTTATAGTAGAGACGGGGTCTCGCTCTTACTCAGGCTGGTTTTGAACTCCTGACCTTGAGCAATCCTCCCGCCTCGGCCTCCCAAGAGCTAGGATTACAGGCGTGAGCCACCGCGCCCGGCCTGATATTCTAGTTTAATTGGCTTCAAGTGGGACTTAAGTTCTAGGCTGCTTCGAAAGCTCCTCAGGTGATTCTAATGTGTGGCCAGGGAAGAGAACCACAAGCATGGATGGTGTTTCTTTATTAAGTACATTTTATGGCACTAGGGAAGTGACACATATGAACAAGCTGTTCTGTGCAGTATAAAAACTAAATAGGAAAATAGGCAAAACATGACAACTGAGTGGGGTAAGTGCTTTTATTTATTCTGTAATTCAACAAGTATTAACTAAGCACCAGTGCTAAAGTAAAGCACCAGTGCTAAACAAGCACCAGTGCTAAAGTAAAGGCATGCTCAGAGTCCTATGGGTCACCTGCAAAGACCAGGAAAACTTCACAGAGGAGCCAGCAGACAAGTAGTAATTTGGAGGAACCCTTGGTCAAGGTCTTCATCAGATAAAGTAGGGAGTGCCTGGCAGAGGGGACAGCAATTGCTGGGCATGGAGGAGAGTGGCAGACTGGGAGAAGCTAGAGATGAGATATGCATAGCCTTAGACTAAGGAGTTTAGACTTGATCCATAATGCATTTAAAGAACATTAGAGGTTTTTAAGCAGGAATGCATAAATGAGGGGTGAGTGCAGAATACTGACATTTGAGAGAATTCAGGTTGTTCATACAGGAGCTGTAGTTTGAATTTGCTAGCCGACTCAATGGTTTGACTGATCATCCCCCATCCCTTCTACCCTTGACTGAAGTAACCAGATATTGTGACCTTGTGGGGATACAGTTTCAAGTAAATGAAGGTAGAGGTTCCATGTGGCAGTTGGAATGAAATGTAGACCAGTTTTTTTTTTTTTTGGAGACAGGCTCTTGCTCTATTTCCCAGCTAGAGTGCAGTGGTGTCACTGTAGCTCACTACAACCTCAAACTCCTGGGCTAAAGCAATCCTCCTGCCTTAGACTCCCGAGTAGCTGGGACTACAGGCAAGTGCCAGGCCTGGCTTATTTTTTGTTTCTATTTTTAGTTGTCTAGCTAATGTATTTCTATTATTAGTAGAGATTGGGGGGGGGTCTCACTCTTGCTCAGGCTGGTCTCGAACTCCTGCCCTCAAGTGATCCCCTCCTCCCCTCGCCTTGGCCTTCCAGAGTGCTAGGATTACAGGTATGAGCCACCATGCCCGGCCTAAAACTGTATTTTGGGGAGCCCACTCCAGACCTACCCAATCAGAATTTCAGAGGTCAGGCCAAGGAACCTGTCATTTAAATTCATTCCCAGATCATCCAGATCATTCTAATTTCAGTGATTTGTAGACCACACTGAGCAGTGTAACCAATTGTCAGTGGTGGTCATTGGCAGCTATTTTGGGGTTGTAGGGAACAGGTCAGAGAAGCTTCTCAATTCATAAACCTCCAGCCCAGTGGACTTGCAAAATTTGCAGCATGCTTGGTTTTCAATGCAAGCTATTTCTAGGTTAACTTCTTAATTGAGCTATTTAGCTCAGCAGAGGACCTGAGATACCACAGATAAGAAAGAGGTTTAGGAGTAAGCATTAAGTATCTCTGGCTGTGTCTGTGTTATCCTTTCCAGTCCCACTTATCTGAAGAGCTAGATTCCTCAAAGGACAAGTAACCCTAGAGGGGAGTATCAATGGGAAAGCTATAGATTCCTTGCCACACCCCTGTTAGAGAACTATGTTAATAAGAACATAACCTCAAAAAATACACGAAGATGTTGGATAAAGAAATTTCTCTCCTGTGTTTGTCAGCTCCTGGGGTTACAGGAGCACAAGTTTAGGTAAACACGACCCATTTCTCTCTAAGGTGTCTCTTTACTTCTTGATGCACTGGAAATCCTGGCGGATAACTCATTAGTGATAATGAGTGTTAGATGCTCATAAATTCCCTGCAATTCATTGGCTGAAGACATCGTAAATGTGGACTTCTTGGCTTTTATTGTCTTTAGTTGCTTCTTTAACATACTTTAGTTTGAGTGTACAGATTTGAGGTTTTAAAACTTGTTTTTAATTAAGGCATGGTTTATTTTTATTGCTTGAGATAAAATGCAGTCTGAGGGACTCAAATGTAATTTACAAAATAAAGTGCATCTGGGCAGACTATAAGAAAAAAAAAAAAAAAGAACAGAAAGGCTAAAGAGTCAGCCAGGATTCTTAAATTTACTTAGTAACTTCTTGGAGAATAAAAACGCCAGCACCTGCATTATAAAAAAGCACACCTTATAAATGTCCTTCTCTTTGAAATACCTAAATGAACTAGACTGAATTATGAACTAATGGCTTGTAAAAATTCACCTTGAGCAAGCTACTTGAAGATACTAAATAAAAGAGGTAGGGAGAGACTCTGAGGAAACCCAACCTGCTGTTTGTTTATCAGTAATGCAACTCAAAAGTGGACAAGCGGATGGTGGAGTTTTCCCTGTTTTGTTTCCTGGGCTGAGCCTGTGAATGCCAAGATTTAATCTAAAGAGGTTTATGTTTTAAAAACTAACAACCAAGTAATAAAACACCTATAAAAGGGGTTTATAATGGAACCAGTGACAGTTTTGAGTGTAGTATTACAACTCTACTGCTCCCCCTCTCCCTTTTTCTATCCTTTCATCCAACTCTGTGCCCTTTGTCTTAGCTCCTTTCTCACCTTGCTGCCAAGAAGCACATAAGTAGGGGGAGCTCACACCCCACGTAGCAGACTGTCTTTAAAAAGTGAAGTGTGTATTGTGGTCTGCATTTGAAGACAGGGCCTTGAGCTGTTTGTTTGCCTGAGATAAGAACTGAGATAAGTTGCCCTAACAAAGTACCTACCTAGTTGTACAGTGGTTTCTAGTGGGGCGTTGAAGATGCTGCTGCTGTAGTGTCAGTGGCATGAAGATGCAGGAGTCAACCAGGGCAACAAGCCTGGGCATTCTCTCCCTGGCACCGTGCATCATCCTGCCAGGGCCCAAGATAGCCCTGACTCCAGGAACAGACTTCAGGCAACAGGTGGTTTTAGCCACCTTAGCCACCAATGTCTGAAACTTGGTTCTTTTTCAAAGCCATAGTTCTCCCCCTACCCTGGAAGTAATGGCGCCTGGGAGGAGAAACTTCGTGCTCAAACTCTGTAGGGGCCATTCCTTGAGCCTACCTTTCCTATTTTCTGAAGTCTCCCCTGCCAGCATCCCACCCATCTCCCGGAAGAACCAGGGGCGCTCTCTTCGGGGCAGGTGGGCAGCGACAGAGTGGCCTCGCCTGGGCGGCCAGAGCCCCCAGCTTTCCTCATATGGGCCTCAGGAACTCGGGGGGCCAAGGGGAAGCTGGAAACCCGAACTTCGCCATTAGCTTTCCTTAGAGCGCTGGCTAGAGGAGAGGGGGGAAGGGCCCCCCAGCAGCAGTTTTTCTCCCCTCCCTCCCCCAGCCTCAGCACCTCTGCCATCCAGCTGCACGCCCAAGAAAGCACCCCGAACGCAGCTCAGGCAGGGCCCGCTAGCTCCTCGCAAGCCGGGAGAGGGCATCCTGAGGGGCAGCTTCCCCCTCCAGCCCACGTCTGACATCCCCACTCCCACCCAAGGATGCCGCCGCCGTGCCCTGTCCGCAGTAGCTGAATGTCACTGCTCCCTCTTCCTCCTGATCAGGGTAGACACAGCTCCTGACGCGTCCCCCACCCCAAAACTGTCGCGATCGCCCGAGGGCGCAAGGCCTGGGCGAAGGACGAAGTTTGGGGCCCTCGGCGCCGGGAAGGGGGGCGCGTTGGCGAGGACCGCACCTCGGTCCCAGCCCTGGCGGGCACACTCCCCGCCCCAAACGGCCCAGGCGTCCCCATCCTCCCGCGGACACCAGCATCCCCGCCCTCCCCCGAGGGCGGCGAGCGGAGCCCCCCGGGGCGGAGGCAGGTACCCCCGGGGCGGAGACTGGGGCGGGCGGGGTCCGGGCTGCGCCCCCGGCCGGGCCGGGCGGGCTAGCGGGCGGCGCGGGGGGAGCGGGGCTGGGCGGCGCTGCCTCGGGCTCTGTGCGCTGCAGCCCGGAGCCGAGGAGGAGGAGGCGGAGGAGGAGAAGGAGGCGGCGGCGGTGGGTCCCGGGCGGGGGGAGCGCGGCGCTGCGGACCCGGGCGGCTGGCAAAGGACGAGGCGGAGGCTGAGGCAGGCAGCGGGGAGACCCAGGCTGCAGCAACAAAGGGCAGCGAGCGATTGGCCGGGCTGCAGGCGAGGTTAGCCGGGGACCGGGGTGGCCGGAGGCAGCGGCGAACGGTGCACGTGCTTGCAGACACGGGCGAGTGTGGAGCCAGGGGGGTGCACGCCCGGCGGGTAGGGGCTTGCTCCCCCTCGGCATGGGATGGCAAGGAGGCTGCAGCGACATCGTTCTGCCTGCACCCGTCCTGGGGCTTGCAGGGTAGGGGTGTGCTGTGGGGGGGAAGGCTGGGAGCCAGGGGGCGGGCGAGTAGTCGCCCGGGACGGGACGGGAGAGAGGGTGGAGGAGGGGGCGGGATGGAACGCTCCGGGCGGCGCGCCCGTCCGCGCGCTCCACCGAGGTAGCTGGCGACTGAGAACCTCGAATTTTAACTTCGCGTGCCCGCCCGCGCGCGCCCGCCCGCGCCCACCCCTAAATCCTGCGGCCGCCGCCAGCGATCAGCTCTCACACAAACTTTAGCTGCGGGCTAGGGGGTTTGGGGTTGAGTGGGGGAGGGGAGAGGGAAAAGGCCTTCTGATTGGCGTCGAATGCAGCCAATAAGGCCAAACGCCTCTGCTGCGAGTAGACCAATCCTTTTCTAGAGGTAGAGGGGGCGGGTAGGTGGAAGTAGAGGTGGCGCGGTGTCTGGGAGAGAGAAAAAGGGCTGGACCAATAGGTGCCCGGAAGAGGTGGACCCAGCGGTCTGTTGATTGGTACTGGCAGTGGACCCTCCCCCGGGGTGGTGCCGGAGGGGGGATGATGGGTCGAGGGGTGTGTCTAAGTGGAAGCGAGATGACCGGCAGAAACCTGCCCCAATGGGCTGCGGAGTGGTTAGTGAGTGGGTGACGGACAGGCCCATAGACCAACGGGTGGCCTTAAGTGTCTGTGGTCTCGTCCAATGGAGCAGCGCCGGGGCGGGGCCGCGGCTCGGGTTTAATGAGACTCCATTGGGCTGTAATCAGTGTCATGTCGGATTCATGTCAACGACAACAACAGGGGGACACAAAATGGCGGCGGCTTAGCTCCTACCCCTGGCGGCGGCGGCAGCGGTGGCGGAGGCGACGGCACTTCCTCCAGGCGGCAGCCGCGGCTTCTTTCTCAGGCAGCGGCAGCGCCCCCGGCAGGCGCGGTGGCGGTGGCGCGCGGCCAGGTCTGTCACCCACCCCGCGCGTTCCCAGGGGGAGGAGACTGGGCGGGAGGGGGACAGACGGGGGAGAAATCGGGAACTTGCGACGCCCCTCCCACAGGCCTCTGCGCGAGGGTCACCGCGGGGCCGCTCGGGGTCAGGCTGCCCCTGAGCGTGACGGTAGGGGGCGGGGGAAGGGGGAGGAGGGACAAGCCCCGCCCCTCGGCCGGGCCTCCAGGGCAAGGGGCGGGGCTCGAGGGTGGAGGGGCGGGGCGAGCTCGGGTGGGGCGGGGTTGGGGAGTCGGAAGGCGGGGGCTGGGAGGGAATTCCTGAGTGGGAGTGAACTGGTAGGAGCGGTGGGGGGCCAGGGAGGGTGTGGGGGGGACTGGTTAGGCAGGTGGGAGGGGAGACTGGAGGTGAAGAAGCAGGTGCAGAAGGGAGAGTTAGGGAGGGATGTAAGTTTAGACATGTGGAAGGGAGATCGAGGGGTATGTGAGGGTAGGCGAAATGATGCAGAACGACAAGATTGCAGTTATCTGGGTGCAGAGTAAGGATGGGTTTGGGTGTGGTGGGTGTGCAGTAGAGTTGAGAAAACAGTGCAGAGTAGGTGTTGGATTGGGGGAAGTATTGACCTATGTGAGGGGCAGGTACAGTCGCTGTGATAGGAAAGCGATATCTGGGTGAACCGGCATGTTGGGATAGGAAGGAAATTTGCTAGCTTTAGGGTATATGAAGCATTTTAAAAAACAACATGAAAAGATGGGATGGTTATGCATGGGAGAGTTTCTGAAAGATGATCTTAAGACATCAAAACAGACTTAAATGTGAAAGGAGGGAGGGAGGCTGCTTGGAACTTGCAATCTATATCTGTAGCAGAGAATGTCATGGGGACAGGGGATTGGGGGCGGCAGGGGGTTGGAAAAGGCAGCAGGCGTGAAGAACGTGGGTGGGGCTGGCTAGTAGGTCTGGGTGAATGTGATTTGGTGGACTGTGCCAGGACTGAGGATGGGGCAAAGAAAGGTGTTAGTTTGGGAGACAAGAGTTGTTTGATAAGGCTGGATTTCTTGCATGAAACTGGAGCTGGGATCTTGAAGGTGGGCCAGGAGGGTGCCCCAGGAAGAGGCATGTACCATAACTTGGAAAAGGACATTGTGTATTTCTGGATTTGCTAGTGCTTTGGTATGGGCCGAGTGCAGGGAGTGGTGGGAAGTGACCAGGCAGAGGCAGAGGAGGTGCTGAATTACAAATGCATCAGGAAAGATTTTAAGCTGTGCACTTGGGAGAGAGTGTTGGGATGTTTTAAACACTATTAGACAGAGGTTGTGAAGGGGTCGTGTTAAAGAATTACAGATGTGGGAAATAAGAAAAGATGACCAGTGAACCAAGTATGTTTAGGGTGGAGGTACCAGGAATTCAGAGTAAAGAGTATATGCAGACCTTTTGTATATGCACAGGAGGTAGAAGTAGTAAATGGGAATTAGTTGTGTTGGGATAGTGTTAGTTCTGTGGTGCTCCAAAAAAGTTTTGTTTTTTAAAGTACATTCTCCCTGTCTACTCTAGATTTTCTGGCATAGCCCTGGAATAAACCACTGCTCTTTTCTTATTCATAAATTCATCACACATACATCAAAATGAGTTCAGGTACTTTTTTATGTTTTAAAGAAGGAAAGAGTAACATTATATGTTTCAGAAAGAATAAGATTTTTCTTACCTGAGATCATCTGCTGGGGGTTAAAGGTTGGGGAGGTGAAGTGATGGTTTAAATAAAAAAGAAGATAGAGACAGAGGAAAGTTTTAACATTAAAGGAAGAATTTAGGGTATGACTGGCTGATGGTAATGACATGGTCAGCAGATGAAAAGTCTTGCCTACCAATTGTACTTAGGCCTCTGAGTAGAGTGGATGTTATGTCATTGCTGTTATATGTTTATTTCACACACTGCTTGTGAAGATAGGGTGGAAACTGTCAGACACGAGGCATAATGTGAATGAAAGGTAAATAGGGTGAGTATTAGAAGGTAGTTGAGGAAGTTTGATAAATTTAATGTGCTTCAGAAACTTTTATGGGCATTCATATACCAAGTAGAAAAAGACTTAACTAAATGATCTGGCTTTCAGTCTCTCAGATAGTTCTGTACAATATACCTTCAGTTTTCCATGTGCCTATACATGCCTACATTGGTATTGAGGGACAAGGAAATTGTTTTATGAAAATAGGGATATGTGAGCTATAGTGATCAGTCTTTGCTTTCAGGATGGTAAATGATGCATGGTTAGGAGAAGTGGGATGAAGGGATCTTTCTTCCATATGATGCTTTTTTTTTTTTTTTTTTTTTTGAGACAGAGTCTCACTTTGTTGCCCAGGCTAGAGTGAGTGCCATGGCATCAGCCTAGCTCACAGCAACCTCAAACTCCTGGGCTCAAGCAATCCTCCTGCCTCAGCCTTCCGAGTAGCTGGGACTACAGGCATGCGCCACCATGCCTGGCTAATTTTTTCTATATATATTAGTTGGCCAATTAATTTGTTTCTATTTATAGTAGAGACGGGGTCTCGCTCTTGCTCAGGGTGGTTTCGAACTCCTGACCTTGAGCAATCTGCCTGCCTCGGCCTCCCAGAGTGCTAGGATTACAGGCGTGAGCCACCGCACCCGGCCCATATGATGCTTTAATCTGCCTTCTGTAGCTTTCTTCTGGTAGACCTGAGAAAGATAATATACCACAATTTTTGTATCATCCATTCCACTGTTGCTGGATATTTGAATTGTTTGCAGTTTGGGGAAATTATGAACAAAGCTGCTGTGAGCATTCCCATACATGTTATCTGGTGCTCATGTGCACAAACTCCTCTAAGGTGTACACCTAGTGTTGAAATTGCTGGTTCACAGCCAGGGTGACTATTTATTTCTGGTTTATGCTTGTTGTTTCAGTGCAACTATAACACCTTTAATTCGCACAAGTATCTGGGTGTGCATAATGAGTTGTATGGTGACCCTAGTCATAGGGTTTGCTTGTCTTCATCTTTACTAGGTACAAAACTGTTTTTCAAAGAGTTGTACTAGGTTCCTCCCTTTCCTGCGATATGTGAGAATTCCCATTACTTGGTCTCCAATTCTCAGTCCTGTTAGTGTTTTGAATTTTAACTGATAAGATAAATTTTGCATTCACTTGATTAGTAATCAGGTTGAACAGCTTTTCATATATTTATTAGCCGTTTGGATTTTTCTCATTTGTAAAGTTCCTTTTCAAGTTCTACCCCCTTTTTAAGTATGGCTTTCTGCGTTTTATTGCTTTTATAGAATACAAGTTTTTTATCCTGTAAGTTGCAAATACTGTCTTCTATTCTGTGGTTTGCCTTTTTACTCTTTATGGTGTCTTTTAATGAACAGAAGTTCTTAATTTTAATGGAGTCAAATTTATTAGTCTTTACTTTATGGTTAGTGCTTTTTGTGTCTTGTTTTAAGACTCTTTTCCTACTCTGAGGTCAAGAATATATTCTCCTACACAGTATTATCTTCTAAAAGCTTTATTGACCTTAAAAGATGTATAACTATGAGTAAAATACACTCTTCTTGACCTCAACCTCACCATTACAAATCTATTTTTGCTTTCCTTCACTTCCTTTTATTCTCTGTCTTGAATTTTTACTTGTCTGCAACTATAGCTAAGAGCCAGGTGCTGACTTCCCATGTCCCTTAGGAGAAAGTGGTCATATAGACAGAAGTTCAGCCAGATTAGATTTTACAGGTCTCCAGCTGACTGTATTGCCCTTTTTTCTTTTATGAGCTAGCATTTTATTGTGTTCTGCTATGTGTCTGCCACTATTCTTTGTTCATATTTGTTATCTCAATGATTCCTCTTAACAGGATTCTGTAAAACAAGGGTTGTAGTCTCATTTTTACAGATGAAAAAACTGAGACTTAAGATTGATTTAGTAACATGTCCTATATCCCATAGCTTAGGTAGCTAGCAGAGTGGGGACTGGATCCCTGACTCTCTAGATACTTCTAATCACTGCACACTTGTTTGTTGAATAAGATTTCAGAAGCGTATTTTTTGATAATACTCAAAACCAAAGAGAATAACTTTCTTAGTTTTAACATAACATGCCTTAATTAAACGATGTAAAGATAACTAGTGTGAAACTATATGAAATACCTCTCTCTGTGTAGCCAGTGGACTGTAAGTAGTCCATGTATGGGTGACAGAAGAGCTGTTAACCCCTGAAAATACATGCCAATGTTTGTATGTACACGTGTTCATTTTAAAAAGTAGGTCTACAATATTCTTGAGACTCTCAAAAGGGAGCCCTAATTTTTTTCAGAATTTACTGGATGTTCGTTCTGCACACACCTGTAATAAAGTTAACACAGAATCCTGAAATGATCTGTTTCTTCAAAATAGTCTTTAAACGATTTAGATGTTAGATTTTTTTCTTAATATATTGTTCTCTGTCTTTGTCATTAAAAACTGACTAAAGGTAATTTGTAATTAGAGAGAAATCTAGGCTTGAATAGGAATTTTTAAATGCCAAAAAAAGACACTCTAAATTTAGTTGATTATTTCTTAAGTGAAAGTGCTTAGTTATAATATCATCATTACTAATCAGTGTACTCTGGCTCCAACAGTCTGATGACTTCAAATGACTTTTCATCTTGTCTCTAAAATCCTCTGTTTTACAAGGGATCAAATTTCTGGTGAGGTTCCTAACAGTGTGATTACATTTTAGAGACTGAAACTATTGAGCACTTAAATGCAGGGATGACTATGCAAACTTAATTCATGGGTTTCACCAGGAGATTTGGGACATGTCTCTACTAATTTATGATGATGATGTTGAAACTAATCTTTACTAGGGATTATGGAAGCCATAATAGTTTATTGATGGTTCAGTTATTGTTTGTTGAAGCACATTTACACAATTATAGTTTAATGATATAACAAGGATATTGTCAACTAGGAGAGCATGACATGAAAAATTAAACTTCCAATTAATATAATATGTATTAGTTGAAATGATAATTTTCATGGTGATTTAGCCTCTTAGAAATCCTTGGAAAACACTATTAGCTTATGAATTGAAAACTCTCTGTGTTAATGAGTAGTGGGAAAGAACTTAGTATTACTCTAAAAAGATGGGGAATTAAATATTCAATTCAGCTAACATTTTATTGAGTGCCCGCACTGGGCTGGCTGCTAAGTTAGACTCATAAATATAAGTTGAACAAGATTGATGTTTGGAGAGATGAAATACTGGTTGCTTTTGTTTCTTCTTTTAATCACCCTTTCTTCCAACCTCATAGCCGATGGATACTATTGCCAGAGTAATTTAAACATTCAACAAACTTCTTGTGTGTATATGTACTTCTCTATGCATTATTGTGTCACCTGTGCCTGCAGTGGCTTCATATTACTTCATCTGTCATGTTCACATGACACAGTCTTGCTTTTGCTACAGCCAACTTTATTTCTTTATTCCTTTTAAACACATACCTGTCTTTGGCACATGGACTTGGTGTCCCTTCTGTTTAATAGTTCATTCTTAGCTTCTGTTCTTTCATTTTGATTTCCTTCCTTCATTCACTGATGCATTCATTTAACAAATAGGCATTGAATCCCTCTTCTGTTCAAGTTGCAATCCTGGGAAATCTTTGGGCATGCAATGTAAAGGTGGATCAAACATTAATCCTGTTCTTAAGAATTTTACAGTCTAGTAAGGGAGATAAGGTCAGTACACAAATAAGCATACTATAAAGTAGGAAATGAATGCCAAAATATTAAGAAGGCTAAAAGCTTCTTGTGAGACAAAGACAGATGTAGGGCTTCTGAGATGGTGGGCTGGGCTATAAAGGATTTGAATTTGGACAGAGGGACTAGGAAGTTATCTAAGTTCATCATTGTCTTTTGAGGTCTAGTTTAAGTCCATCCATCCAAAGGGTGTTCTAGCCATCCATATTCCATGTGGTTTCAGCAGGTATAGCCACAATTGTTTCTAGACTTTTTCCTTCTGTAATTAGAATAACCCTTTTTTTGAAGTGAATCTTATGGGGAAGCCCAGTATATAAAATAGTTACAGTGGAGCTGCACTGTTAGGTACAGGTGTTATGGTACCCCTAGTGCTTAATCCATAAAGGGTACCTGCAGGTGATAGCCGAGGTACTTCACTAGAGATCAAGGAATCTAGTTTGAAAACCAGTGGAGAGACAGGAAAGAGTGTGGGCTTTGGCATTGGAATCCTTCATGATTTAATGGCTCTGAGGTCTTGGCCAAATCAAGCCTCAGTTTTCCTTTTGTAAAATAGGGCAACAATGTTACCTGACAGGGTTGTTTTAAGGTTTACTGGTAATTGATGTAAAATACCTGGCCCACAGTAGGTGTCAGAAAATGGTTGGCATTATTATAGTTCAGTGCTTTGTTATTTTTTAAAAATCCCATAATTTATTAAGGTGAAATTCATAAAATGAACAAAACATAAAAAGTGAACAACAATTCAGTGTCATTTAGTATATTCACAGTGTTGTATGACTACCATCTCTATCTAGTTGGAAAACATTTCCATCAATCCAAAATAAAATCCCTTACCCACTAAGCAGTTTCTCCCCATTTCTTCTCCCTGAAGTCCCACCATTTTATGTCTTACCTGTGTATTTATCTATTCTGGATGTTTAATATGAATGGAATTATATGATATGTGGCCTTTTGTGTCTGGTTTCTTTCACAACATAATGTTTTTGAGGTCTGTCCATGTTGTAGTAGCATGTATTCGTACTGCATTCCTTTCTATGGGTGAATAATATTCCAGTGTATGGCTATACCACATTTTGTTTATCTGTGCATCTGTCAATGGACATATGGGCTGTTTCCACCTTTTTGACTATTGTGAATAGTATTGTTATGAATATGGGTGTACATGTGCTTATTTGAGTATCTGTTTTCAGTTCTTTTGGGTATATACCTAGAAGTGGAATTATAGGGCCATATGGTAATTCTCTGTTTAACTTTTTGAGGAGCCCCCGAACAGTGCTTTGTTATGTCTTAATTGCTTCTTGTATGTTCTGTCTCCAGCTTTGCTTTGTTTTCCTCATAGCATCTACCACAGGGCTGCATGCAGTGAACATAATCTCGCTAAATATTTGTTTGTTGTTCTTTGATTAGTATTTATAACCTTACCTCCCAATTCACATGTTTTGGGCCTCAAGCATTAATTTTAGGGGAAATAGATGCATCCAGGACTTGAAGTTAACAAATATCACCATAGGGATGATGTTTGATGTGTCACCTATTTTGCACAACTATGCCAATAACCTGAGCTGGGTGGTGATAGAGGGAAAAGGAGTCAAAGTCCCTTCCCTTAAGCAGTGATATTGTTTCGGAAGATACTGTTAAGATTTGTGGATGCTCATTCAGTTACACAATGGGCTTTGAAAGAATCCAGGAGCTTATGAAAGTAAGAGAGCTAAAAATAACTGTTAGCAAGTAAAACTCAGGACGACAGAAGAGTAAACTCTATTATTAATCTTTATTTTTTTCCTACCACTGTTTTTGGCTCATCCTATAATCTCATGACTTGGTTGTTATGACATTGATTTTGAAACAGCACACAGCTTGAGTAAAAGCTTAGAGGAGTCCTCACATAATACTTATGAGCCAGGATATTTTGACTCTTCTTATGCTGACATGAATACTTCTGAATAATGTTGATGTTTATATAAGACTGGTGAAGCTAAAAGCTCAGTGCTGGCCTAAGCGTTTCTCTAGATATGTTTAGAATAGTTTGTAATGAATGATTTAAGTAGTGTTATAAGACTGTATGATATAACCATATAATTTACTGATATTTTGTATTTAAAAATAAAATGATTCATAACCTTAGAAAACAGAATAATTTAATTTGATGTAGCATGAATCCCCAGAATTAATTTGGAACGATTTACTACCTTTTTGATAGCCTTTTTGTCTAACTTTCACATTTTTATAGAAAAAAATGAAAAGAGAATAATGATTTTAGGGTTTTAGCTTGTGATAGAATGTCCTATCTACATATGAAACAAATCCCAGTGCTCTGAAAAAGAGAAGTGGTGTGGATAATTCCGAATCAGGGAAAAAAATCATTTCTATTTGGCTTTTGAATGAATTATGCATTTTTCCCCTAGATTTGTCTCTAGTTAGATACTGCTTAGGCTAAAATGAAATTGGTTTTCAATCTATTCTCTTAGCTTATACCAATTTACAGTGGGGCCAGTGGGATGTTGGAAACAAATCAGCCTAAGATTAAAAAATTTGCAGTGGATAATACACAAAGTGGATAATATACATGTGTTTAGTTGAGAATTGGCTACAGATAAGAGACTTCTGATTTTGTTCCTCTCCTAGCTGTGTATTTTTTTTTTAAACACTGTGATTCTGCTTGTAGCAAAGAGCTGCTGAGTTACATCTGCTTCTGCCTAATTAGCTCTGTTGGTTGGTGTCAGATGAGAGCTAATTTTGAGATTAAATTGAGGAGTGGGGTGTGTGTTGGTGGCTGGGGGAGGGGAGAAGGAGGATCTAAGGTTGCTTGGTTTTATGTAAGATCAAAATGTAGTTATTTATAGCTGTGGTTTTAAATTTATTTTTTGCCTTTCAAGTAAAAATGATCACTACTGTCCTAAAATGTAACTTGTGTCAACACATATTTACTATTGCGGAAACTGGTACATCTTTCTTTTAGGTGAGGTTATTGGTCATATGTTGGTAATCCATTCAGTGCTAGGTAGCCTTTGGGACAACAGAAAATGCTGCCTATTAATCCTGATCTTAAAACAACTTTAGCCTCTTATTCCCCCGCTGGGTAAAATGTTATATCTGCCTGGCTATTTGAGTAATAGACTTTTTTCATGATGTGATTCTTTCTTACAAGTCTATCACAAACCTGATTTTTATTTTTTTTGAGACAGAGTCTCACTCTGTTACTCTAGGTAGAGTGCAGTGGTGTCAGCCTAGCTCACAGCAACCTCAAACACCTGGGCTGAAGGGATCCTCCTGCCACAGCCTCCTGAGTAGCTGGGACTACAGGTGCACAGAATGGCATCCGGCTAATTTTTCTATTTTTAGTAAAGATGGGGTCTTGCTCTTGCTCAGGCTGGTCTCGAACTCCTGAGCTCAAGCGATCCTCCTGCCTTGGCCTCCCAGAGTGCTGGAATTACAGGTGTGAGCCACCATTCCTGTTCCAAACCTGATTTTTAATATTTGAAGAATAGATCTGGCCTTAAAGAAGAATGAAATTTACTTCTTTAGGTGCTTTCCTTGGGACTCTGGGGCTTCATTTTCTGTCCTGAGTTCCATGTTTATAAATGCCTTTTGGTAGTCTGAAAGAGTTGATATATCATCAAATGTAGTTTACTATAAACTGTTGTAGCTATTTGTCTTGAATAGTTATGGAGACCCATAGATGGTTGCTGGTTTTAAGAGATCTCCTTATGCCCAAATGAACATTCATTTTTTTTTTTTTTGGCAGATTTGCCTGAAGACCTGGACAATCTTCATTTTTGTCATGGACTGTTAAAACGTTTGGAGTTCCAATTCTGGTATTTTCCCTTGTTGTATTTTTAAGGTATAAAATGTCAGTCTTATTGAAATGTGTTAGTAATTGATATGAATGATTATTTTGATTGTGGATAAAGATTGTGGTAAAACCTTGTCATGAAAGTATATTTTGGGTATTAGTTATGAAATACATTTTGTTTTAATGTATGTTTATTTGTTTGTAACCAAAATGCCTAAAAGCAACTTTGTAATATTGGACACTTTCCTATGACCTCTTCTGCTTCCTGCAGTTGTATTTTATGCAGTCAAATTGAATTAGTTGTGATTCATCGTGAATAAATGATGAAAGATGAAATAATTACTTGGATACAGTGAAATGTCTTCTAATGAAATTTTGCCCCAAACCATTTTACTTTGGAAAGATCAGTTTCCTGTTCTAAACTTACTGACACAGAATGATTCCTGTGTTCTATCCTGAAAGTGGTTGCACTATAAAAGCCAATGATTTCATTCCTTAACACACTGTGTTCCAAGTCTCACATTTTTGTCAGAGATTTACATAATGACATAGATGACAGAATCAAGATTCAAAACAATCTTTAACAGGTTGGAAGATAGACTCAAACTCACTAGAGGAAAATGAACTGTAATCAACTTTAAATCCCAGTATTTAAATTTGCACAAAGAAAGGAGTAGAAAGACCTTCAGCTTAACAGTAGTTTTGAAAAAAGACCTGAGATTTTGAGGACCTTGGCTTTGAGACAGGAGCCTGCCAACCTCCTCATTTGCTGGCAAATTAATAAACTAAAAAAAAAAAAATCTGAGATTTTTAGTTAGACTGCATGCTCAGCATGGCCAGTTGTGTGGCAGGGCTGCTAAGGAAGATCCTGTAATCTTGGGTTGCATTTATAGTTGGATAATGCCTGAACTGCCAGTTTTTTTTTTTTTTTGAGACAGAGTCTCGCTTTCTTGCCTAGGCTAGAGTGAGTGCCATGATGTCAGCCTAGCTCACAGCAACCTCAAACTCCTGGGCTCAAGCAATCCTACTGCCTCAGCCTCCTGAGTCGCTGGGACTACAGGCACGAGCCACCATGCCCGGCTAATTTTTTTTTTTTATATATATATATTAGTTGGCCAATTAATTTCTTTCTATTTTTATAGTAGAGATGGGGTCTCACTCAGGCTGGTTTTGAACTCCTGACCTTGAGCAATCCGCCCACCTCGGCCTCCCAGAGTGCTAGGATTACAAGCGTGAGCCACCGCGCCCGGCCATGAACTGCCAGATTTTAAGATGGGCATTAGCCAAACTAGTGAGCAACCAAGAAAAGGCGGTGTTTGGAAACCATGTGATATATGAAAGGGTTAGGGAGCCAGGACATGAGTGGTCTAAGGTAGGGCCAGAGGTAGAGTGGGGTTTGGTTGTTAGTAGTTTTCAAAACATACTTGTTTTCAAATATTTGAAAGCCTGTCATATTGAAGAAAAATATTAAGAATGTCTTGAGATTGTTCCAGGGAAACTAGAATTAGTGGGTAGAAGCTATGCAGAAGCAGATTTTTGCTTCTCTGAGCAAGAAATATATTATAGCGAGAGCTGTCCAACAGTGGTGCGAGCTGCTTTGAAAAGTGACACATTATCAGTCACTGGAAGTATTTTAAATAAAAACTCAATGGCCCATCTGTTGGGGATATTGAACAGGGATCTTTTACTGGATAACTAGAGGTTAGACTAGATGACTCCTAAGGTCCTTTCAGCTCAAAGTTTCTTAATCTGAGGGGGAAAAAAGTGGAATGAACCTACAATTTATTGATCACAAAGAGGATAATCTGTTTAAACTGCCTGTTTCAAGCTGACTGTTTGAAAAAGAATAGTTCAATGGCCCATTTGTTTTTCAGCAACATTCAGGAATCTTTGAGAGCAAATGTTATATTCTTCAGTGTATCTGGCTAAAGTTTTTTTTTTTTTTAGACAGAGTTTTGCTTTGTTGCCCAGGCTAGAGTGAGTGCCGTGGCGTCAGCCTAGCTCACAGCAACCTCAAACTCCTGGGCTCAAGCGATCCTACTGCTTTAGCCTCCCGAGTAGCTGGGACTACAGGCATGCACCACTATGCCTGGCCAATTTTTTCTATATATTTTTAGTAGAAACAGGGTCTTGCTCTTGCTCAGGCTGGTCTTGAACTCCTGATCTCAAACAATCTTCCTGCTTGGGCACTCCCAGAGTGCTAGGATTATAGGCGTGAGCCACCACGCATGGTGGATTGGCATTTTTTTTTTTTAATCTGTGAGACTTGGGAAATACAATACCTAGCTGAAAGCAGGATTATTACTCTTTTTTAAAGTTTTAAGATTTCTCAAAATAAGTTTAATGTACTTGCATCAGATTTTTTATATCATAGACTTATTCTTTGATGTTGATTTTATGTTTGTGGTAGACATATACCTTGAAACACTTTAATATAATGTTATTAATTTCAATAAATGTAATCCATTAAATATATAATTTAAGATGTTATTTCTTACATGCCTCATAAGTGACTTCATATAAATAAGTGAAAAAATCCTAAAAAAAATTTCTTCTCAGACTATGACCCAATTTCTGGTTGGAAAATATTGTCACTAGGGCTGTATTACATAATACCTGCCTGTCATTACTTCTGTGGTCACTTTGTATCTGAAAAAGTCATGCTAAAGAATATTTTAATTTATTTTTATAAGTTCCATTATTTATTTATTTTATTTTTTATAAGTTCCATTATTAAGAACCTTTTCCCCCTTTTTATCTTTTAAGGTCTTGATTTCGCAGTTAAAGATGTTCTTCGTCCGAATGCAGTCTTTCCTGTTGGTAAAATAAGACAACTATCAACATTGCCTGTTTGTTCTCTTTTCAATCTCTTAAGGAAGGATGTTTGCGAGATGTTGCTTACTATGGTCTGGAATACTCTGTCCGTTTGTTGAATTGTAAATGACTTTCAAATGTACAAGTTCTGTTAAATACAAAGAGAACCTCTATGGGTAACTTTTGTGTTGAAGAAGTCATTTGTCAACCATGGTAAAACTTGCAAACCCACTTTATACAGAGTGGATTCTTGAAGCTATACAGAAAATAAAAAAACAAAAGCAAAGGCCCTCTGAAGAGAGAATCTGCCATGCAGTCAGTACTTCCCATGGGTTGGATAAGAAGACAGTCTCTGAGCAGCTGGAACTCAGTGTTCAGGATGGCTCAGTTCTCAAAGTCACCAACAAAGGCCTTGCCTCCTATAAGGACCCAGATAACCCTGGGCGCTTTTCATCAGTTAAACCAGGCACTTTTCCTAAGTCAACCAAGGTGTCTAGAGGATCATGTAATGATCTCCACAATGTGGATTGGAATAAACTTTTGAGGAGAGCAATTGAAGGACTTGAGGAGCAAAATGGCTCCTCCCTGAAGAACATAGAGAAGTATCTCAGAAGTCAAAGTGATCTCACAAGCACCACCAATCACCCAGCCTTTCAGCAGCGGCTGAGACTGGGGGCCAAACGTGCCGTGAACAATGGGAGGTTACTGAAAGATGGGCCGCAGTACAGGGTCAATTATGGGAGCCTAGATGGCAAAGGGGCACCCCAGTATCCCAGTGCTTTCCCATCCTCGCTCCCACCTGTCAGCCTTCTACCCCATGAGAAAGACCAGGTAAGTGAAGGAGGAATGTTAATACATTCTAGATATTGCTCTTTTGACTCTTACGATTTCAGTTAAGATGTTTTATGTGAACAAAAGTTCCGAGTCAAGTTTGATAGATCAAATGTTTTGCCTTGGAGGAGGCTTTTATATGCTTTTAAGATGCATACATTGTTTTACAATATACATTGTTTTATATTGTTTTACAACGTATTGAAGGCTTCTTCATTGATTGGCTAAGAATTTAATGCAGTAAGCATGTAATTTATTTATTTTTTATTTTTTATTTTTTTTATTTTTTTTTTTTTTTGAGACAGAGTCTCACTTTGTTGCCTAGGCTAGAGTGAGTGCCGTGGCGTCAGCCTAGCTCACAGCAACCTCAGACTCCTGGGCTCAAGCGATCCTTCTGTCTCAGCCTCCCAAGTAGCTGGGACTACAGGCATGCGCCACCATGCCCGGCTAATTTTTTGTATATATATTTTTTAGTTGGTCAATTAATTTCTTTCTATTTTTAGTAGAGATGGGGTCTTGCTCAGGCTGGTTTCGAACTCCTGACCTTGAGCAATCCGCCCACTTCAGCCTCCCAGAGTGCTAGGATTACAGGCGTGAGCCACCACGCCCGGCCTCATGTAATTTATTTTTTAAACTCTAATTGCTAATCAGTTGGTGCTTGAAGGGACCAAAGATGGATAATCCTCCTTCTTCAAGGCAGGGTCATATATATTTCAAAAATCTAAGAAAGGTCATTGTATATTTTTTTCTTTATTATTATTTTCACAGAGGAATCTATAGACTTCTTATTTTAATACTGATAATCTGCATTTGTGAAATTATTTTAACATGCAACCTAAATCCATCTTGTTTCAATTTAAAGTCATTTATTGTTGTCTAAGTCTAATTAGGTATAGATGAATGTCTCATATAGAATCTTTTTTATACTCTTTGATTTCTCTGGGCCTTATGTTATTTCTATAGTATTTATAAATAAATGACAGAATTCTCTTTACATTACTGCTATGATATTTAGTCTTTGGTTGAGTAGACTTTTTCTTTTTTTTGTTTCAAAGCTACTGAAATTACCACCCAAACTAAAGTCAAAGTAAAGCAATAGCAAGTTCTTTATAATTCAGGCCCTCCAGTTTTGGGGCGTGTCTGTCCTTTGGGTGAACAGATACACTGATATCAGTTAATTTTACATCTTGTAAACCTTTGATCGTTGTTGTCAACAGAAAAGATGGTTGTATCTGTTAACTACAGTATTAGAAATGATTGAAGAACAAGTGTTAGGAAAAATTGTGCTCCTAATGGCTTGCTTCTTCTCTTGGATACCGTGAAGTCTTGAAATGGTCCCTGTTTCCCTCAGTGCTTTAGCTGGTGGGAGCCCAGCTTTAGAAACTGCATAGGACCAGGTGGTTTGCCTTTCCACAGGCTGATCTAAAGCCTAGCATTTATTACTTAACTGGATTTTAATTTTATTAGTCTTCTGCTACATTTATTTTATCCTTTGATAGTAGTTGTGTTTGTATAACCAACCCCCAATTCTCTGTGAGAGAATGTGGGCACAAAGAAAAGAGTAAGAAACCTGTGAAATTTTCTTCTTAATAACATTTGTTTAAAATATAGAAAGTGACTCAAATCCTAATTCCTGTGTCTGACACAGTCATATTAAGCACCTCTGTTTCTCATTAAATATTTTTATAAAAGCTTATGCCGTGAAGAAATTCCTGAAGGGAGTATAGAGCCTTTTTTTTTTCTTTTTTTTTTGAGACAGTGTCTTGCTTTGTTGCCTGGGCTGGAGTGCCATGGTATCAGGCTAGCTCAGAGCAACCTCAATCTCCTGTGCTCAAGCAATCCTTCTGCCTCAGTCTCCCGAGTAGCTGGGACTATAGGCATGCGCCACTATGCCTGGCTCATTTTTTCTATATATTTTTAGTTTTCCAGCTAATTTCTTTCTATTTTTAGTAGAGACAGGTTCTCACTCTTTCTTGCTCAGGCTGGTCTTGAACTCCTGACCTTGAGCGATCCTCTCGCCTTGGCCTCCCAGAGTGCTAGGATTACAGGCGTGAGCCTCCACGCCCAGCTTGAGAGCCATTTCTTGATGGATTTGGATATCTTTGTTTTTAAAATATATACACTACCGTAAGATATGTTAAGGTTTTATAATTATTAGGTACATGGACTAATTCAGGCAGCTTTAGGCAATTTAATAGTAAGTTACAATAATTTTGTGATCAGGGGATAATTTTACTTGTGATACAAGAGTCACTACAAATTTTCCACAGTTCCTTTCCTATCCTTCTCTTTAACCTTGCCCATCATTTCTTGCTAACCTTATCGTTTTTTTTTTCCAGGCAGCATCTGTATGGAAGTATTTTTAGTCTAAAGGAAAATTCATGTCTGAAAGTGTCTAGGATTGAGAACAGAGTAATTTATTGCTTAGCATGCAATTGTTATTGCTATTTTTATGATGCTGATCTTTAAATTGTCTGGTTAGCATCATCATATAACAAGGAAAGCTGAGAATGTTTTCTACAGTTTTTTACCTGATGAAATTTATAGATTAGTTCTATCAAATAATCACATTCTGATTCTTAGAAAAAAGCAAATATAAATAAAAATCAAACCAATTTTTCAATGTGTTTGTATTATATATTATGATATTGTTTTTCCATGAAAAATGAAATAAAACTACATCATTAATATATTGCCCTTTGAAATGAAAAGTAGTAGTAGTAGTAGTAGTAGTAGTGTAAAACCATGTAAACTCACTAAGTAAATTTAATAGAACTTCTTAACCTGGGATCCAAGAATGAGCTTGGGTAGGTAGCCCACAACTCCTCTGAAATCAAATGTAAAGTCATGTGTGTATCCACATGTTTTTCTGGGGTCAGAGTTTATAGCTTTTATCAGATTTTCAAAGGGATCCAAAATATCAAATAGCCAATGTGAATATTTTTTTGTACTGTAGTAAATAGTTTGAGTTTCTTATACTAAAACTGTGATATGTTAATTTGTGATCTTTGATTGTTCTTGCTTTGGTTGCTGAACCATATATATATATATAGATATATATATATGATGTACTATAGATTCTTGTATATAAGACTTTTTATAATGTATTTGAAAAAGATTATCATTGTTTTTGATGTGCTGGAAGTCAGAATTTGCATTGTGGGAGGAAATTTATGATATAGATGGAGTGATTTCAGTCACAGTTTAGTCAATTGATGTCTTTCATAGAAGTTGTTATTTCTGATTACTTTTGTTGAGAAATTGCATTTAATTGTAAAAAAGAAAATAAGAATAGTAAAAATAATATTTTGTAAGTGTTAAATGCTGGCACTATTCCAGGTGCTTTACATTTATTATCTCCTTGACTCATCACAATAACTGGGAGGGAGGTAGACAGATGAAAAACTTATTTTACAGGTGAAAAACTGAGGCTCAAAGTGGTTTTCCCAAGGTCACTTATAGAACTGGTGAGTGGTGAAGCCAAGATTCCAATGAGACAGTCTGATTCCAGAGCTCTTTACCACTGCGCAGTATACTGGTCAACACTGGTGTCTTTTTATTAACAGTAAAAGTCTCTCTTCCAGTTCTTCAAATGATTAGAAGCAGTTTTCCCCCAACAAAGAGATTTCCATTATTTTAAATTTGGTAGTTGCAATGAGCTTCTTACAGTTTTTAAAGCAGACATTATTTATAATATTAACAATATGGAAATGCACTAGAGAAAGTAGTAAATCTGTGTCTAATTAGATTTAACATCATCATCATTCCTATGCATGACTGCTAGGAGGAATACAATGCAAGTTAAAATAGAAGGGCTCCTTCCTTTCTGAAATGTAATTGCACATCTTCTGATAGTCTAGAATTCAAATTGGGTATTACCACACTGGCTCCTTAGCATAAATTCTTTGTATTTATTTAAGAAAGCTCTCTTTGGTGAGGTGATATGGAAATGAATTAAACCACTGAAGATAAAACTTTATCTTTGACTTGGTGAGGGAACTCCTAAAGGATAGTATTAGTGTTTCTCATTAAAAGTGGTAAAGCTCAATTAGGTCAGATTATGAGGACTTTGGAAAGTCAAATATTCTAAGAGAGACTTCAGTTATCACTGCGTACTTTGTAACATTAAGATTCCATTTGAACATTCTGGCTTTAGCATTTTTATAAAATCAGTTTAGTTCAATTTTAAACAGATTCCTTGGTATTTCACTTCATTGAGAAAATCTTTATAAAATTTATTAAGTGTCAAGTCTTGGTCTGTTTCCAATGTAGTACATAATACAGGAACTCTCATTCTAGGCTAGTATAGTAGCTGGAAGGTGGGACACTTCCAGTGTCCCAGGTAGGACTTTTGATGTTTTTCTTTTGAAGAAATGAAATAGTTGTATTAGAATCTTACAAAAACCTTAAAACATAATTATAAAAACTGTAATTACAAATACTGTCAATAAGGATAAGATAAAATGGTTTTAAAAAGGAGCACGGATAGTCAGAAATGGGGCTGAGAGACAAAATTGTGATAAAAATCACTCGTCATGCGTGGTCTTGGCTTGTTCAGTTGTTTATTCTATTTGTCTACCACCACCTTTTAATGAGATGCCTTACTAGGGTTTTTGGCAATGTTATCAATATGAAATATTTCCATAAGTAGAAGATAAATATACATCCTACATTAGTTTCTTGTGTAAATGCCATAAGTTAGAGAACTTTATTTTTAGATTTTCCTTTCTTTGATTTTCTCCACTCTGTTCTTTCCTCTCCAGTCCAATTATCCCTGCTTTAGTGCAGACCCTCCTCATCTGTTCTGGGACTTTTCCAAACCCCTGAACTTTGTGAAGGACCATTCACTAGTCCATATTGTTCTGTGATGTGGTTTCCAGAAGTCTCTCAGCCTTAGGGTGATCATTCATAGTCTTGGATGATTCTGGATCTTTTTGTCAGAAATGTGTGTATTTTCTATCTGCAAATTATAGAGAATCCAAATCTCTTCCTCTCTGTTG